AGCTTTTTGCAGTCGTGCGTACAATAGTACACAACTGAGGTCATCGTACTTACTCATCATACATCTTCACGTTTGCGAACGCTCTAAGAGGTTTAAAATATGTTCATCATAAGATCAAATGGTAGGCATCTTCACGCATAGATGCTTCCAGATGAAGCATGGCTCGTATCACCTGGACCATAATAGAACAAGTATGACATCGTATGTGTAAATTAAGTCCAGAACGATAATTTTATCATCGTACTGTTCGTCTATTAACGTGTAGTGAAATACCACTACACGTTTATTCATTGTTATCGATGCTCCTGTGTAATAAAGTAATCACGAGATTCAACCGTTTCATTGGGTGTGAATGCCAACAGATTGCAGGCGTCAGTTAAGTCCGAGACGGATTCTGATTGGAAGAATAAAGGCTGAAATGATTGGCTTTCGATCTCGATCTCTCGACCTTGATCTGTTGTATACACGATCCCTCGATCTTGATCTGATCTCTGGATCTCGATTTTTTGTTTACAACCTGGGTGTGGGGTATTGGTAAGGTTCCAGAGAGAATACACTTTGTGTTAAACACATAGGTACAAGGGGGCGATCTATTGGGAGGGCGACGCGTGGCTTCAAAGGTCGTGTAATAAATAGGCCTAGCGATGTGTTAGGATTTTGGATTTGATTGGCTAACATTAAACAGAGTTTAATTTGCTTTGAAGTGCACGTGTCGCTTTCTATTCCGGGTTGGATCATTGTCCACCCGACGTCAACAAAGTTGTACACTTTAATTAAGTTATATACCTAGATTGTTTGGCCAGGGATCAAGGACTCTCAGTATACCCCCCAAACGCGATCGGACGCAGCAAACACATAAAGGCAAATGGTGCAAGATCGCGAGACGGCTCAAGTGGTCAGAAGGCTCGCTAATCAAGTATCTAGATTGAACGAGGCGATCTCGTAGAGATCGAGTAGACTCATATCGGGCGTCATACAATACATCCGCTATAGTGTGAAGGTTTCCACGCGACAGCACCAATCCCAACCACGGTTAAGCTTGGCATCGACTCAAGTCCACCTAGAAGAGTACAACCCGACCTACCGACGGGAACACAAGGTGAGTGAAGCATACAACACGGAATCGGAAAATTCCTCCGTTAGTCGGTCGTCCGGGCGCCAGTGGACAATTGGGATCGACTCCTCAAAAGAGCGATCACCAATCCACCACAATTGTAGCAAGGAGAACAGCCATCCTCTTGAGAGGTATGTCGCGCTCAACGAACTTAAGCCTACGATTCTCCAACGACTGGCGTTGGATAGAATTTTTGGACGCCCCACGGTCGACTAGGGCACAAGGTGACAAATCTTTTGTCACTTCCAGGTTCAAGGTGATACATGGTACTTCATCACCAGGTTCAAAGACAGACAATGAATGTGTATCTGGAGCAACTTTTGCTAAGAAATTTCACAATATTTTTGAGGCTTCTGGATCAGTAAGGCGCTCTGCCCCATACCGATTTCGAACGTTTTGACGGTACGCCTCGCTGTTGCGACTTCGTAACATCGTCGTGCATACGTCCGCTGCCCTTCTTGGCAGACGTTTAAGCCTTTGCTCAGTGTATCGAGACACTGCGCGCGGGGCACGGTCCTCATATGTGTAAACTACGCTTAGTTGTCTAGTACTAAGTCTTCCTCTCAGCGCGTACTTTGTACGCTAGTAAACAAGAGCATTCGTTATTACTTCAGTCAGTGAGATCTTGCTACGCACTGTTGTCAGTGCGTGACATAAAGTACCCTGTTACCTAGTTACACTTTGTAGTCTTTCCAATGACCGCAACTTTCTCGCTCAACATAAACATGCTCAACAATAATGGCGATAGATTTCACGCCACGCGTGACCTCGAATGTAGTGCGGTCAAACGGATGATAATGTTATTTGGAACATGCTCTGTACTTTCTACAGAGACCAATAGCATTTCTCCGTCTTTAACTTGATGCACAATGAACTTGACACAGTGCTAAAAGAGCTAGTTTTGTCTTACCAGCAAGTTTTGTAATAGCTTGTACTGTTGAGACAACAACAGGCTCAGACAGCTTTTTACGGGCCGATACATGCGCGTCGATAGAAACCTTAGAGGTTGACTTCTTTAAGTACAAAGTAGTTGAGGAAGACCCCATATTATGATGGTTTGTCAAACTAGACGACGCCATGAAGACACGTCGAATTGACGATGAGGAAATGAAATTTACAGTTGCTCAAATTCGCTTCGCAGGACGTGCCAAAACTTGGGCCTACGGGCTGAAATGGGAGACCAAATTTTATTTTGGAATGTTAGATTTATTGAAATCCCGCCTCCGATCACGTCTAAGCCGCCACAGGCTGAGCTGAAGGCTCGATCAGAGCTCCTGAATCTCAAATAAGGGTAAGGGTGATGTGCACGCTTACGCTCATCGTATACGGTTCCTCGCGAGTAGTGTAATGGCCAACTCGTTCAATGTACACACTGTGTTCATGATGGAGTTCGCAGAGAGTCCCGTCAGAAGCCAGCTTTTCGTTTGGAGATGGGTAGCTTAAATAATCAATCTTAGCTGCAGAACAGGATAACTCGAGAATAATACAGGCTCATGCTAGCTAAAGCTCTTATCCTCAATTTAGATGACAAATGAATACAGGGCCTGAACTAATGGATTCTATTTATGTTAATAGAGACAAAAACATATATTAATATAATTAAGTCCTGACTTTGTATTGCCTTGTTAGTCCTAACGTACCTATATTAATACCAAAGCATGAAGTCCACGACTAGGGGCACATCCCATTTTTGCTACGGGTACACCCGCCCGCCTAAGATGGTATAGATGACCTCACGTTTTATAGTGCAAAATAGATTGAAAACTCGTAGTCACTTACTACTGCTCCCTATCTCCCTATCTTGTACGGCAGATCCACTCATGCGCGAGATTCTATCGATCAACCTTGGCCAGGGCGGTATTAAAACGAGCAAATACTGCTACTATTTTTACTGTATTGAACACGGCATCCAATCGGATATCACTATGTCGATGGATCTGGCCATCGGTAGTGGCGACGACTCGTTTTTTCCGACATTTGTGCCGAGACAGGAACGGGCAAACACATACCGCGTGCAGTATTTGTAGGCCTTGAGGATACTACATGTGACGAGGGACGTAGCGGTACATACCGTTAAACGTCCCACTTCGGGCAGATCATTTCGGGTAAGGAGATGGAAAACACAAATACGCACAAAGTGTCTTATCAACATAATGGAAATCCGTCGCTTCCTTTCACCGTTGCTAAGATTATGACTGTTCTATAGTTACCACCACGATCGCACTTGTAGTAGACCTGTTGCAGACCCCACTTCGTTTTCCTTGATCTGGGTATGACGATGGCATACCCTTGGGTAGCCGCAAAATCGTTTAAGGTTGTTTCCATTTTGTATCTGGAAAGAATGCTGGTACCAACTAGAGCGGCAGGTGGGGTTGGAGATATATCAGAGACGGTTTTCCCTCTTTCGGGCCTTCGTACGCCATTCTGGGAGTTCATCTGGTGCGTGTTATTATCCGGTTTTTTCAGTCGAATTGTATGAGTAAGAGTATGAGGGGAGATAGACGCAATTGAGCGGCCAAGAAAGGTGTTGGAGACATTATATTTTTCTATTGCAGTAGATGGAATTCCCCTCCTTAACGTCCAGAGCAGTAGGCCACATAATATCAGCAATCCGGTTGGGTGCTTCTACATACAATTGTACTATACCGTACACTCACATAATTCCGCACTACAAAATGAAAAACACTTATTATCATTTTAGGCGAGCGGATGTGCCCGTAGCAAAAATGGGGCGTGTCCTTAGCAAAAGTGGGGCGTGCCCCTAGTCGTGGCCACGCATGAATAGTGACGTCTTCTCGCCACCCATTGCGCGCGTCTAGCAGCGATTGTTGGGCTAAATATTATGTATATATCAACTAATGAGTAGATCCTTGAGTCACTGTAACAATATCACTGATCTTAGTGATACTGTAGCGAGAATATTATCCTTATTATTCTCCAGTATCATATTGTCACAAGTAATAATATTATGTGACGGGCTCACCTCCTCAAATCTCGAATTACTCATTTAATTAGTGTTGCGCACCTATATAAGTTGTTTCTCAATTCTTCTGCAAGATATAGTAAGACTTTATGCATTGCTTTACAGCCGACCTACATAGCATTGCGGATAAATACACTTTACGATTAAACCAACGCGTTACCGGCCTGAGTACGAATTTTAAATAAACATCGATGTCGTCTAGACATTGAAGAAGGCGCATTATACACTGTATTTGAAGTTAGAGATATAGCAAAGCACAAAAAAGTGTAATCTATCAAAAGCACGTGTGTGATACTTTTGCGAATGACGTCGTGAACGACCATGTAACGTCTTACCAATGATCTAGTACGACGTTGACGAGATCGTGCCAGTTTGCTCGCAAGCCAGCGTCGAAAAAAGCAGCCTTCGACCTGACTGCACGGACCATTTGACCCGTTCTATAAAGCTGCAAGTTTCTCACAACAGGCTACAAAACGGATGCATCACCAACATCAGCTTTTCGGTCCAAAAGCTCTGATCAGTCGCGAGTCTGCCGTTTCTAGCTCAGGCAATACGAATGTCCTGACACTTCCTTGTCGTCCACGAGTCGTGTAGTACCGGGTAGTTAGCAAGTCACATGGAGAGGGAGACCAGAACTGGAATCACGTCCAGCAGCTGGTGAATCACTATGCCTGCAATCAGCGTCTTTTGGCGTGAACACGCCTGATGCACGACGTACAAGCAGGTTTAACCTACCTGTCGTTCTGCACGCAACCACAGCCATCACTACGCCGGGTGGAGCTTCGCTGATCAGATACAAACATGGGCGACGCAACCGTCTCGCGTGTCAAAGTAGCGCGTCCTCCGTCCTCTTTCTCAAAAAGTTCCGTCTTTGATTACTAGTCAACATAAACTACAAGCGCGTCATGTGTAGCGCAGTCCATAGTCGTCTCCTCCATCGAGTAACGACATGGTCTCTTTGTCCTCTGCAGACAAAGTGGTTGCTTCAACACCCGGATCCGGATCCCACTGGTAAAGCACCTTGCCAGCAAAAATGGTCATGAACGCAACCATGTCCACGTACATAGACGACGGGATCCAGTTTTTCAGACCGTGGTGGAGATCGATGAGGCCAAAATTGTCAGGGTCCACTTGATAACATGCCAGAACCACGAAGGAGGTCAGGAAGCCTGCAAGCGTGCAGCCATACATTGTTGACACGCTGGTCAATCGGATGAGCTCGAGCAGCAGCAGATTGACGACGACGTTGCTGATGATGTAAAGGAAAAAGATAGGAAGACCCATCTGGACGAACATATACGTCGTGAGTCAACAAGTCGGAACCTCTTCGGTGCGGCGGACAGCGCGTACATAGCAGTCATCCGTCGACACTTCACTCTTGCCTTGGATCAAACACGTGAGACCACCGGGTTTCTGGTCGAGGTGGAGAAACTATGCACCATAGCAGACAACGCATCATGAGAAACTTGTATGACCGACGGAAGACGAGTTGCAAGACAAGCTTGCAAGCGTACTGCGTACATTAGCGTCGAAAATGAGCGGAGCGACAAACAGTCCAGCGACAAACTGATTCAGTGACACCCACGCATTCAGGCAAGATGCATCCACTGGCTGATCACAAATCACGCGCTCCTTGTATAGCATGGACAACGAGCCGGGAATCGCTGCAAGCAGGTAGAGTATACTGATCGAAGGAAGTCAAACGTCATAAGTTCAGACGATACTACCACTTCTTTGCACAGTCGAGACAAAGCACCTGTTCCAACCAATCTCGCGATCATCAAAGTCGTCGCTGCCAGCACTGATCAACATCAACACCATCAGTACCTCGCCAGAATACGCAGCACAAGTTGCTGCTGCTGTACATTACATACTTTTCAATGCAAGAGATGAGGGACAGAACAAGACCGCCTGTGATTGCCAACATGCCTGCAATCTGCGGTCGCGTGTACCTGTACGACAACGACAACGACAACATGACGGGCTGATCAGCCAGCTTGGACATGTCAGTGCTACAGTGTACAATAGAGCGTACCTGACGCCGAAGAACAAAGTGGACAGGCAGGCTGATATCGGGATCGAAGCCTGCATGAACAAAAGCGTCTGCGTTGGGTCCGTTCGCCCACCGGCAATAAACAACATGAGCCCCTGCAAGCACAACGAGCGCAGTCACGAACAGCCGTCAGCGTGCTGGCAATCTCCACTATGACTCCGATGCGTGTCAGCAGTGCGGTCGTACGTGGAGGAGGTCGAGCAGCCCCATGACGAAAAAGTGAAATTTGGAAAACTCCATGCCATCGTTTTCTCCCAGATCCTGCGGCAGCAGACACCACAGGCAGCCGCATCCTCTTCAGTCTATGCCGCTTCTTGTCCAGAGACGCAAACAACGAACGAACGAACGAACGAACGAACGACCAATCGATCGATCGATCGATCAATCGACCGAGCGCAAGCAGCAGCAGCAGCCGACGTACACTATGTGTGGCCTTGTAGCTGACAATGCAGAACATCGGCGGGACGTACAAAAACGTCATGAGCTGGTACAAGACGTATCTATTAGCGTCGTCCGCGAGTGCCGACGCGAGGCAGCGAGCAAAGCGGTCGAGGCACGACAAAGACGAGCAGAGCAGGACGAGACGAGTCAGCACCAGTGCAGCAGCAGCAACAGCAGCGCACGGAAGCGCCGACGCACCTGTACGACTCCATGCGGTCGACCATCACCTTGAAGAGGAACCGCTCGGACGACATGGCCACGAGCAACACGAGGATCGCGCCGAACGACAGCAGCGACTGCGGCAGTGCACACAGACACACAAACACACACAGACAGACACACAGACAGACAGACAGACAGACACAAACACACACACAAACACACACACACGTTGCGCTCAGTACTTTTCGTGTCGGCTCACTGCGTGTCGCTCGATGGGCCTCGTGAGACTGTCGTCGGCTCTTGCAATTGAGTGAGTGACCCAACGAGTGAGTGGGTGAATGGGGAAGTGGGTGGACGGACGGACGGACGGACCTTGTGCGAGCAAATGTGGTAGGACTTTCCTGTGCGGACGTCGATGCCGAGTCGGATGAAGGGAAAGGCGCTGAACGTCATGTTGGGCGACGCGCGTGGCCCCTGTGGACGAGTGTCGATCGCCCCGTGCGCTGGTCCCGTCGTTGAACTCCCGCGAGGCGGATCCGTGGACCCGGTCGTGGGTTTTTCGTCGATCCGTTCGTGGGTGGTGGGACATTTATGCCCATTGGCAGAAATACATCCACCAACACAGTCGTTGTTGTTGTAGTAGTAGCACTTCTCGCAGTCGCAGTAGCACTTGTTGCAGTCGTAGTAGCAGTTGTTGCAGTCGTAGTAGCAGTTGTTGCAGTAGGTGTTGTTGTCTGAGCAGTAGGTGTTGTTGTCTGAGCAGTAGGTGTTGTTGTCTGAGCAGTAGTAGTTCGTAGTAGAGGTCAAAGTGGTGTACTTTGTGGCTTGCATGATAGAGTCTCGGAGCGAGTAGCATCTTGACCTATCCACTCTTGTCGCAACATGATTTAACACGTGAGACGAGTGGAACCTCGGAGAGGTCTGATTGTTGCGGTGAAGTCAATATATTCCACGGAAAGCGTTGTCGCTCTTTGGTGTTTCTGCCAACCGAGGCGGTCATTTTATCTGCTTCTTCCCGTTTGAGCAAAGATTTTGTCATTTCAGCGGCTGCGATAGAAGCAGTGAGCACGAACGGTCAATACGTTTGCAGCTCACCGCCTTGTTCTCATACGCATCGATGTGCTACTGAAGATGCAAGAGCGCAGTCACGTAAAGCTATGTGTGGTTGAAGAGACGCTAGGTTTGCCCTCAGTCTCATGCAACACGTGTGCGCGAACGGACGGTAGATTCTGCCACGGCCAGCGAAATGGACGCGAAACTGCTACGAACATAATGAGCATTGTCTGAGAAGGCATTAGCAAGAACTGAAGACCGTTGTGTGGCTTGTTGGTGGTAGATGTGCACAACTCTAAACATGACGACAACGTGCTGCGCCGTAACTGACTGTCGGGAAACCTGATTACGTTCAATGTGCAAGATCATAAGAAGGATGAAATTGATTGCAGCGAACAGATCGGACAGAGCCGCAACAAAGGGGGAAAAGTGATACACAAATCTTGAAGCGTCAAGCGGAACACACCGAGAATCCACCCTGCTGAAATGATTCTCGACCCCGCTAGCGATTGGATGATGCATTGGTGGTTCTAAAACCATCTGGACGAGAGCTTGGCCATTACTTGAGATCATGATTGGATTTGGCGATAACGGTAGCTCCGAACCGTCGAGCCTCGCGCTTGTCTTCTAAAGCAACGCAAGAATCCTGACATCGTCGTCGTTCTTGGGATCGGGGCTTGGCTGATTCGTTTCGACCGCCCTCATTTCGAGACAACCTGATCTGGCTTGAAGGTGTACCTTTGTTATACTTCCAACAAGTTTACAAAACTTAAGCTCGTATCCTGTAGGAAAACAGATCTGCAACGCAGCTTGGAAATGATAAGATGGATATGTACTTGCGTTGTTAGTCTGGCAGATATCTACTTATCGAAGGTCTTTCTATGGTTTTGTAAAAGTCGTTCTTGTCTCAAGTAGATATTGTACACTTCAATTTCCGCTACTACGAACTACTACTGCTCAGACAACAACACCTACTGCAACAACTGCTACTACGACTGCAACAACTGCTACTACGACTGCAACAAGTGCTACTGCGACTGCAACAAGTGCTACTACTACTGCAACAACGACTGTGTTGGTGGATGTATTTCTGCCAATGGGCATAAATGTCCCACCACCCACGAACGGATCGACGAAAAACCCACGACCGGGTCCACGGATCCGCCTCGCGGGAGTTCAACGACGGGACCAGCGCACGGGGCGATCGACACTCGTCCACAGGGGCCACGCGCGTCGCCCAACATGACGTTCAGCGCCTTTCCCTTCATCCGACTCGGCATCGACGTCCGCACAGGAAAGTCCTACCACATTTGCTCGCACAAGGTCCGTCCGTCCGTCCGTCCACCCACTTCCCCATTCACCCACTCACTCGTTGGGTCACTCACTCAATTGCAAGAGCCGACGACAGTCTCACGAGGCCCATCGAGCGACACGCAGTGAGCCGACACGAAAAGTACTGAGCGCAACGTGTGTGTGTGTGTTTGTGTGTGTGTTTGTGTCTGTCTGTCTGTCTGTCTGTCTGTGTGTCTGTCTGTGTGTGTTTGTGTGTCTGTGTGCACTGCCGCAGTCGCTGCTGTCGTTCGGCGCGATCCTCGTGTTGCTCGTGGCCATGTCGTCCGAGCGGTTCCTCTTCAAGGTGATGGTCGACCGCATGGAGTCGTACAGGTGCGTCGGCGCTTCCGTGCGCTGCTGTTGCTGCTGCTGCACTGGTGCTGACTCGTCTCGTCCTGCTCTGCTCGTCTTTGTCGTGCCTCGACCGCTTTGCTCGCTGCCTCGCGTCGGCACTCGCGGACGACGCTAATAGATACGTCTTGTACCAGCTCATGACGTTTTTGTACGTCCCGCCGATGTTCTGCATTGTCAGCTACAAGGCCACACATAGTGTACGTCGGCTGCTGCTGCTGCTTGCGCTCGGTCGATTGATCGATCGATCGATCGATTGGTCGTTCGTTCGTTCGTTCGTTCGTTCGTTCGTTCGTTCGTTCGTTCGTTCGTTCGTTGTTTGCGTCTCTGGACAAGAAGCGGCATAGACTGAAGAGGATGCGGCTGCCTGTGGTGTCTGCTGCCGCAGGATCTGGGAGAAAACGATGGCATGGAGTTTTCCAAATTTCACTTTTTCGTCATGGGGCTGCTCGACCTCCTCCACGTACGACCGCACTGCTGACACGCATCGGAGTCATAGTGGAGATTGCCAGCACGCTGACGGCTGTTCGTGACTGCGCTCGTTGTGCTTGCAGGGGCTCATGTTGTTTATTGCCGGTGGGCGAACGGACCCAACGCAGACGCTTTTGTTCATGCAGGCTTCGATCCCGATATCAGCCTGCCTGTCCACTTTGTTCTTCGGCGTCAGGTACGCTCTATTGTACACTGTAGCACTGACATGTCCAAGCTGGCTGATCAGCCCGTCATGTTGTCGTTGTCGTTGTCGTACAGGTACACGCGACCGCAGATTGCAGGCATGTTGGCAATCACAGGCGGTCTTGTTCTGTCCCTCATCTCTTGCATTGAAAAGTATGTAATGTACAGCAGCAGCAACTTGTGCTGCGTATTCAGGCGAGGTACTGATGGTGTTGATGTTGATCAGTGCTGGCAGCGACGACTTTGATGATCGCGAGATTGGTTGGAACAGGTGCTTTGTCTCGACTGTGCAAAGAAGTGGTAGTATCGTCTGAACTTATGACGTTTGACTTCCTTCGATCAGTATACTCTACCTGCTTGCAGCGATTCCCGGCTCGTTGTCCATGCTATACAAGGAGCGCGTGATTTGTGATCAGCCAGTGGATGCATCTTACCTGAATGCGTGGGTGTCACTGAATCAGTTTGTCGCTGGACTGTTTGTCGCTCCGCTCATTTTCGACGCTAATGTACGCAGTACGCTTGCAAGCTTGTCTTGCAACTCGTCTTCCGTCGGTCATACAAGTTTCTCATGATGCGTTGTCTGCTATGGTGCATAGTTTCTCCACCTCGACCAGAAACCCGGTGGTCTCACGTGTTTGATCCAAGGCAAGAGTGAAGTGTCGACGGATGACTGCTATGTACGCGCTGTCCGCCGCACCGAAGAGGTTCCGACTTGTTGACTCACGACGTATATGTTCGTCCAGATGGGTCTTCCTATCTTTTTCCTTTACATCATCAGCAACGTCGTCGTCAATCTGCTGCTGCTCGAGCTCATCCGATTGACCAGCGTGTCAACAATGTATGGCTGCACGCTTGCAGGCTTCCTGACCTCCTTCGTGGTTCTGGCATGTTATCAAGTGGACCCTGACAATTTTGGCCTCATCGATCTCCACCACGGTCTGAAAAACTGGATCCCGTCGTCTATGTACGTGGACATGGTTGCGTTCATGACCATTTTTGCTGGCAAGGTGCTTTACCAGTGGGATCCGGATCCGGGTGTTGAAGCAACCACTTTGTCTGCAGAGGACAAAGAGACCATGTCGTTACTCGATGGAGGAGACGACTATGGACTGCGCTACACATGACGCGCTTGTAGTTTATGTTGACTAGTAATCAAAGACGGAACTTTTTGAGAAAGAGGACGGAGGACGCGCTACTTTGACACGCGAGACGGTTGCGTCGCCCATGTTTGTATCTGATCAGCGAAGCTCCACCCGGCGTAGTGATGGCTGTGGTTGCGTGCAGAACGACAGGTAGGTTAAACCTGCTTGTACGTCGTGCATCAGGCGTGTTCACGCCAAAAGACGCTGATTGCAGGCATAGTGATTCACCAGCTGCTGGACGTGATTCCAGTTCTGGTCTCCCTCTCCATGTGACTTGCTAACTACCCGGTACTACACGACTCGTGGACGACAAGGAAGTGTCAGGACATTCGTATTGCCTGAGCTAGAAACGGCAGACTCGCGACTGATCAGAGCTTTTGGACCGAAAAGCTGATGTTGGTGATGCATCCGTTTTGCAGCCTGTTGTGAGAAACTTGCAGCTTTATAGAACGGGTCAAATGATGTGTGAAGTCGGCGACCGCAAGTTTGTGGGGAACTGGCAAATACCATATCGAGCATGCCGGGCATTTGTTCGCAAGGATGGATATGTCATCTATGCTAGTTGTATGTCGACTTCTGGAAACACTGACATGGAGCAGGTCAGCTCTGATGGGCGTCCCAGCACAGAGCGTTGTTTCAGCGTGAGTGCACGATGTCGAAACACTCAGACGTTGCCAAGTTTATTGGGACTTCATGGCTGATCAGTTCGTCCACCTAGACACCAAAGACGCACAAGCACTGCATCTCGGACGCACCATTGCAGCGGCGTGTGAGAACGTTTGCAACAAGAGGTATCGGCAACGAATGGACAACAATCCTGGTAAGTAGTCAAGAAGCGTGACAAAAATTTCACTCCGTAGTAGTAGACGGCTACACGCATTTGCGAACAGATCGGTGACTTCGATTCCACCTTGACATTAACGGGTGATCCACATTTGCTATATTGCCTGCAGCAACTGGCCACGAACTATATCATTCCAAAGTGCGATGGTTCTTTACAGCAGACGCCTCGTCGTTCATCTACACCCAAACGCGCTCTTGGTTCCTATAACCTCGAAACAAGTGAGCGCCTTCATGGGCTAACGCGAGTTCATCTCGAGCGAGATCTCTTGCACCGCTTTGACAAAGGCATCTACATGCGCAGGGTCCATGTCTGGAAAACACCCATGGCCAAGATTGGCCACGTACTTCTGCGTGCCAAAGCGCTTCAGCATTTTCTTCACTTCGTCATAGATGATGTCCGTCGAGGCATATATGACACTCGAGTCCATGTTACCCTGCAACGAGACGCGGCCACGAGCAAGCTGGCGGACCTCAACCGGGTCGGATTGCCAGTCCAGCCCAATGCAGTCATACTGCGTAGCCACAAGCTTCTTGTAAGCGTATTGTGTGCCCTTGCAAAAGCACACCATCGGCACGTCGGTCTCGACCTTTACACGGTTGGCAATCTGGACCATGTACGGGAACACGAATTCGTAAAAGTGGTCCTGCGTCAACACTTCGGCTCCGACTGTCTCAAAAACCTGAAGCGCTTGTGCACCGGCACGTTGTTGTGCCAGCAGAAAGTTCACACACACATCCGTGATGCCTTGTAGTAGCTTATGAGCCGCTTTTGGGTGCTGGTACAAGAAAGTCTTGAGCAGCGCCTTCGTGCGACTACCGCTGCCCTCGATCATGTAGCACATGAGTGTGAGAGGGGCGCCCACAAACCCGATCAGCGGCACTTCGCCATTAATCTTCTGTCGAGCCAAATTGAGTGCGTCCAGCACATAGCCGAGCTTGTCTTCAATATTCGGGTTCAAATCGATCTTCTCGATGTCCTTTGGTGTCCGGATCGGATCCGGCAGGACTGGACCCACGTTTGGCACCATCTTGACTTCCATGCCCATCGCCTGCGGGATCACCAGGATGTCCGAGAATATAATCACTGCATCGACGTGATAGCGCCGTAGAGGCTGCAAGCTCACTTCCACGGCAAGCGGCGGCACTTGACACATCTAACTCAGACGACACAGTAGCACATTCCGCATCAGGTGAGGCCGACAACATATAGTAGTACACGCAAAGCAGTACATGTGCACAAAAGCGCTTTTTAGCTCATGGATCTGTAGTGTAGCCATACCGTGAAAAAGTCGTAACCCATTTCGCGCAGCTCCCGGAACTCGGGCAAGTGACTGGTCAATTCCCACATACGCCGCCAACGAGTTACTCCCACAAAGTACGATCGGCACAGCTTCCACTGACCAAGCTACTTACCGTCCAGCTTGGCGCATGCACCACACCGGCACTCGCTCGGTCGCGTCGCCGCGCAGGGCACGCAGCAACAGGTCGTTCTTGAGCTTGGGCAGCTGGTCCAACGGCACGCGCTCGAGTGGTGTGCGCGTCATGGGGAACGGCATTGCCACACGGAGCTTCGTCTGCTTCGTCTGCTGGCGATGGATGAGGAAGGCAGCGGCGGCAGCGGCCGAGAGCGTTACGGCCACGGACGCCGTCACGCTCAGTTCGCCCATTATTTGTGTGGACGCAGTGGGTACTTTTTAGTTGTACCAAATGTGAGCAGTGCGTGGTGGACACCATGTAACTGAGGGGAATCCCGTTTATATAAAAAGCGTCATTGTCATTCGACAGACAGCGCACAAAAGCAGAGTGACCAGCGGTACACAACAAGTGCACGACGAATTTGTACGACTAGCGACGAGGACAACAACGTCCAACTGTCGAGCGGCCGTTAGTCGATCGACCGTTGTCGTCGTTCTTGTCGTCGTTGTGCTTCATCGGTCCTTCTTTCTCCCTCTTTCTCCCGTCGCAGTGTTGCGTCAACCCGCAATTGATCCAACTGTCGTCATTTTCGAATCCAAAGTATTGAAGCGACTTCCGTATTGGAAAACACACGGCGATGTTTGTACAGCTGCAACCCGCGCACGGTTTCGTCCCGCTGCTCGTTGTGGGACTGTTGTTTGTCAATGTGTGGGCTGGAGTCCAAGTCGGTAGAGCCCGCAAACGCTATGGCGTCGACTACCCGCAAGTGCGTCTCGAAGCACGCAATGCAATGGGACGTCGTTTTGTTGCCTGTCGCTCTAAAGCGAGTGTGTGTGTGTTGTAGATGTATGCCGACAAGAGCGACAAGAACGCAAAGGCGTTCAACTGCGTGCAACGTGGCCACCAGAACATTTTGGAGAACGTCCCGATCTTCCTCGCACTGCTTTTCACGTCGTCGTATGTTGTAAACCTGCTGTACTTTGTGCCGATCTTGAGCTTTGCAAAATCCATAGACCTGAGACGTGTCCATGGTGCGCTACATGTCCAGCATTTACCGTCCGCAGCTTGCTGTCACAGCGGGACTTTTCCGCATCCTCGGCTTCATTCTGTACATGCGTGGCTACGCATCGGGTGACCCGAAGAAGCGCATGCAAGGGGGATTTGGTACGTAGCAGGTCTGAACTTGTGATGTGACGGACAGTACGAGTTGATCGGCGTTTGTTTGTACATTGATGGCTGGTCAGGACATCTCGCCGTATTGGTGAACGCTGGCTTGAGTATTGAGGCGGGCTTGCGCATCCTTGGACTTCTTTGATTGTGTACGTGGTCGACAAGGGTCGAGCGATCGGGCACACTGGCGGAGGTGGCGAGATGTTGGGAGATTGCATTGATGGTGATACGAAGGGATCTCACGGGGATACGGGTCTTGTTGACGTGAAGAAAGAGATGTGGCGGTAGTTTGAGTGTTTGGAAGACCGAGCATGACACAACAGGCTGAATATACCCTTATCCTCGATTGACATTTATGTTGTATGCGCAGCAAACGATGTTCTGCCTTGCGCTACGCGATTAGTAAGATGCAATCTGCTTTCGCGGTATCTCCAAATCGACTTTCCATAGTACTTGCCAGATCATACTTTTGAGTCACTCTCTAACAATGCCACTTTTTCTATCCAGTCTAGTGACTGTAACGGGGCACGCCTTGTGTCAATTCAACACAAGGTTGTGTGCACCCGGCGTCACGTACACGTGGCGTGAGGAAGCGCAGCGAAGTAGGCAGAACTCGAAAGTTCAGTCTAAGGAAAAAGTAGAACTGTATTTAATATAGTTATGTTTTCTTAATAAACCATCTTTGTCTTGAGCTAACTATGCTAAGCTACAATCTCCTATGTGGGTTTCTTGCTCGCCACCCATTGCGCGCGTCCAGCAGCGAGTGGTGGTTAATCTGGTTGATGCACCGTGAACATCAACCATCAGGTGGAGCAACCCATCAAAGAAATATTACCCTCGGGGGTAATATTCCTTCAACCTTACTTCTTACGAGTAATGTCAATTGAACATTATCTAAACAGATAATGTTCGAAATTAATACGAAAATATCAATTTTCATGTAATGGGCTCACCCCGTTACAGTGACGGCCTCACGTGCAGCACACGAAAGCGCCCATGCTTAAAGTTGGCAATCAAGTTGTCAAAGAAGCGCCACCTTGACGTAGCTCTGTTTAAACCTCGGCAATGCCACTTCCTCAGTGCCAACTCGACTTATTAGGATCATCATATCCGGTAAACAGGCAGCTAAGCTGACCACATCGCGCTAGAGTGAGTGAGAAGGTGGTGCCAATACGGATTGTGTAAACGCTGTACGTAATCCAGTGGCAATGTCCGCGACGGCAGTGGACGCAGCAGTTAGGAACAAAGCCTGCAAAAACACACAGCCATAGAACCAAGGATTCATCGGTGGTTCCTTCGCCCCTCATTCAAAAGCCCTCCGCCGTATAAGCTCGAAACTCTCGTCGTGTTTCAAGCAGAGGGTAGTAGCGATTCGCACGTGCGTACAACGGTTCGCCCACACATGTCCTTCTTTCGTGGACAAAGCGACGAAGATAAAAACGACGAGGAGCGATGGAAGAGCGAGCATACACATACGAGTATGAAATGGTGAAGACACAATTGACTGAGACGACTTGGTCATCATCTCGCCTCTGTGTGCCAAAACTTAGGAGACGTGTGCGCTCCAAGTGATACGCGTGCGTACAGAAGTGGTCGTTTTGCATTGCCGATCTTCCACTCCACAACAATACATACTGACGGACATCGATATTGAAGCCAGCACGCGCCCTCAAGTATGGGCTACAGTGCTACGATCGGGAATGCACAACATCATCTCAGTTGCACCAACTGTTTTCCATTAACGGGTGGGCCATCGGTCCGAGTTCAGAGCACAGCGACACAACAACGCTGATCCGTACCCACTGCATGTGACGGTAACGTCAAACGACTCGTCCCTTACCTGTGTGCGTGACCGAGAAGTCTTACACAATCTCGGTCTTCTCGCCAGGCGCGACCCAGACGACCTTGTCCTTGACTGCCTCGTCCGCAGACAGCACTGCACGAGCGTCGTCACTCGATTCCGTAAAGTGTTTCCACGACTCGTAGTGCAGCGGCACCATCTTCTCCGCTCCAATGTCGTGGGTCATCTTCGCAGCCTCCTCGCCGCCCATCGTGATCTGAATGGGCACAGTCGGCACCGCGACAATGGCCTTGCCGAGGTTCAAGAGCGCCACGACAATGTGGTACTTCTTTGGCAACTCCGTGGCCAACTCGGGAAAGTGCATTGTGTCACCCGACACGTACACGACATTGGGCAGGCCGTCGGCTTCGTTCACGCCGAACGTCGGTGACTCGAGCACAAAGCCCGTGCATTCTCCACCAGGAAGATGCTGCGTGGGCGTTCCCGTGATCTTGAACTGGTGTCCATTCAGAGTAAGCTCCACTGACTCCCATGGCGCTAGGCCGCGAACGCCTGGGCGCGGAGACAAGTTCTTGGCACCGTCAAGCGTTGTGAAGACAAGACGACCGTTCAACATCGTTCGGCCTGACGGGTCCAGGTTATCGAGGTGGTCTTCGTGGCTAAGGAGAACAGCGTGGATCACAGGCAAGTCTTCAAGGCCAAGAGCAGGGTCGTCAGTCTTGGTGAGCATATACCCACCTTCTTGCTCAAACACGCCGCTCTTGTCAAAAGTCGGGTCGAGGAGGAAGTTGATTTCGTCAATGGACAAAATGGCCGTGGCCGTCGAGATGTGCGTGACGCTGATCGTGGACTTGAAAGACGATGACGGCATTGCGAACGAGTGTGCTGTAGAGGTTTCGTGGCAAAGGCAGTTGTCGGTTTGGATGGAAAACGTGAAATGCTCTGCAGTCGAAGCTGTTCGCGGCTGCGAGTACACTCTGGACACACTGACGTGTGACCTATGTAAAGCCAAGCTGTCTGTTTAGGCGCACTCCTCTATTAACGGTTCAGTACGAGACGCAGTGTACATCCTTTTATCTTGAAAATCGAGAGGCATATAACGGCTACATCGAGATCGTTTGTGCTGTCGACAATCTTGTCTGGCAACCCGTAGGTTGACTATCCTCTTTTCGCAATTCGTCGGGCGCACAGTGTGTGCGACTCGTTTGATCGATCCTACAGAATCACTGAGACACCAGCAGCTTTGGTGCACTCGTCTTTACGATGATTCCTTGATATTCCTCGATTGTCTACCGATTGAACCGTCTCAGCCACTTCTTGCGGTACCGTGTTGATGAATGAGGTCCATATGATGGATCACGACGTGATTCTGTATTCATCGACAATACCGTAAACAAAGAGCTAACTGCCACGTCTTCTCCCGGGTGGGACAAAACGACCGACGCAAGCCATCGACGTACACGATTGTGAGGCTCTATGATCGCCATTCGTGTTGACTATACTTTCGTTTGTCTCGCGAATTCCTTCGATGGCAAGTGAAGGATCGATCATCAACCGCCACCTCTTCGTTCGACGTGGTGGTGGGTTGTGACGTGGTACTGTATTCATCGACGATGGCGTAATCCAGGAGCTTAATGTCACTACACAACCAGGCGTGGGACATGAGCAACGTAAGCCCCTGGCCTTTGCATGCTGCGCCATGTACTGATGGACAATGTTACACGTTGCGAACATCACTGACTTCGGAAGTGAGAAACCAACGTGAGCTGCACTTCCTTAGCTACGTCTGATATCTCATTCGTGTCGCGTAATTGATGTACCACTCCAATCGCTACGAGAGATGGGAGATGAGCTCGAGGCTGCCGTGTCATTGGCGGCGGTAATCGGCTCAGCTTTGACCTCGTCGATACGCGTGTTGGTGTGTGTTTGTTGGGTAGAAACCACTTGTACGAACACCGATCGAACACACGAGCACGAAACTAGTTGCTCAGATATCATGGGCTTCAGCTCATTCGCGCGCCCACTAACCTCCATAATGTCATTCGCGGTGTCGATGTGTAGCGGGGGAGTGGCCATCACATAAGCTGAAGCCCTCCTCTCTAGATAAAGCTTCGTGTCGGTACAAGGGCGTAAAACGCTAGAATGATGTGTTACCGTATCACCGAGATGGCAAAGTGACACTCACGTCAGTCCGTTCAGAAGAAAAAGAGGGCTCTTTGGCTATCGGTATAAGATTTGCGTGATCACGGACGGCACCTCATTTCGCACACATGCACGACGTCGAGCAGAGATTTGACCAAGTTGCTCAATAGTTCAGGGCAAGATGCTGTCAGTTTGCTTTCGCGTTACTCTACGTGCTCCTACTCTCGCAAGGTAATGCGACGCGTTAATGGATAAGCACAATCAGCGTTCTCATTTTTTAGTCTTTTGGTTAGGCGCATCACGCAACTGGCAGTAATGCGATGACTCGTGTGCCCCTCTTGATGGTGGTGGTGGTTCCTCTCTGAGCCGTGCCTCCCTCCTCCTTGTTTTGCAATGTTGTATAACGCGTTTTGCTCTTGTCGTTGGGGCAGCAACTTCTATTCGTTGCTGCTCTGCCCCGCACTTCCCTCGGATGCTCGTGGTATCATCGATACCAGTAACAACACATCATCTCTCACACACATAGCTTGCACCTGCTCCTTCCATCGGATGCTTACAAGCGTCCCTGACCGTATTCATTCGTTGCGAACGGTCTTGACTCCCCATTCGCTTCCAGCCCTCTCATTTCCTCATCGTTCCCTTCTTCGCTGGCATGAGATAGACTACATGTGGCCTAAGATGCGCAACGAAGCTTCCAGCGACAGCCCTAGCATCACCAGTGTCCCGAAGAAGCCTACACATTCACACATGAAGAAGGCGGAATGAGCCTTTTGCAAGAAAGGCGACAGCAGCAGAACCCGACCAGTGGCGTCGTACCGAATATAACGTGCCCTCTCTTGCCAGAGCCATCCGTTGCGTACGTCTTGCCACTCCAAATGAGACCAACAATGCGCAGCGCACCGGCTGCAGCTGCAGCTTCGGGTCGGTATATCCTGTTTCATTCGAAGTACAGTCGATGAGTACACTTGCTCACTCGTCACTCAACCGTCAGTGAGCCTCTGTACGTACGAAGACGTGGCGAGCAAAGCATAAAAGAGGGGAAGGTTCTCGGCGACGTGTTGCATGACGTTGCAGTCTTTGACGCGGGGGTCCCTCTTCTCATTCACTATTTGCGTATGCGGGACCTCGTGCGTCTTCTGGTATCCGCCAATTCCGAACCCGGCCCAAGCGCTTACGAGGCCAGTGCCGATGACTACGAGCGGAATGTAACCATGAGCTGGCTGGAGCGTGAGCTGGACTGCCACCACTGACATGACCGGCGAGAATTTTCTGGACAAAGCTGCTGCGTTGGTGTCAAGCTTTGAGGCGTTGCTCGTGTGCTGTCAAAGGTGAAAGCCGTTGTGACCACAACCTGCAGGGCACAACTCGTGCTCCTTCGTCGTGCTATCGGTCGATCTCGACCGAACCATACCGAACAGCATTGCAGTATGGTCCTCGAGTCCAGCACGAGCGAGCGTCGGACGAAGAACGCAAGACCTGTCCGGTCGGTAAAGCTCGGATTTTCGCAGAGGTCACCTCGACTGACGAAACCGTCTTGGGCAGACTCGCAGTGATCGGAGGGGGGTCTGCTAGTTACGGGATGCTGCGAACCTGCTTGGAAGTGTCGCAAACAACGGATGATTCAAAACGACGGGTGTGGCTGCAGAATGGCTGCATCGATCTGCAAAGGACACACCGAAGCAATCGTCGATGAATTCATGCATAGCCCATCGTCGCTGATGGTCGAGCGCGGGTTGTATACGAGGGATTCACAAGCGACATGCATCGCAATGCGAGCGTCAATATGTTGGTATCAGCAGCGTTCGGGCAAGCCTGTCCCCACCAGTGTCGTCGCTAGCTTGGCTTTGATAGAGGCCAGAGATAGTAACAAGAACAGGGTGTTGGCTGGGTAGCACGTCAACCGGCGTGCGCTCTGCTTCTATCCATGATCGACTGCAATTCTTGCCGCCACGTTTGGCAATTCGGCCGAAACGACTGCCAGCCAGCAAGAGCTGAGAAGCTGACGCGTTACCACCTACGAGCGAGGTTTCAGTTTCCCGAAGCACGATCGTCGGTGGATCGCTGTGCAGTGAACCTGATCACTTTGTTTGTCGGGTGAGACGCGCGGTTATGGGTGCGACAAGCACGAGCGCAAGCGAGCACACAGCACAAAGTTTGTCGGTAATGATCTACGCTTGTGCTCTCTCTTTATCTCGCTGGCATCGAGACTAGTAGAAATCGAGCCGACGATGTTCCCTGGCACGGATACTATCCACGACAACAAGACTACCGTAAAGATCAGAAGTCAACAAGGGCTGTGGTGCCCTCTTCACGTCGTTTATAAAGTTCTCTTGACCCAATGCGAGGACTCTTAACTGTACATATCTGTGGTGAACGCACCCGCCAATGAAAGTAGCAGAATATCGTTGTGAACTATGTGAGGCCCACAGTAGCAAAGATGTACATCGGCCGTCTGACGGTAGCAAACATGTCGTTTGGAAAAGGGAATCCGCGACCCGCCGCTTTCTCACCATTGAGACACAGCCGTAACGCTAAGCCGTTGTTGATAGCAGCTACACATTCTCGATACACTTATCCTATTCGTGCAAAGCAGACAGTCCCTCATAAAGAAGCGATTGGTGTCACCGCCCCTCCTGCGCAGGGAAAGTATGGGAGGGTGGGGCTCAGATGCACTCCGGATCAATCGTCTAATCCTCGGGAACGTGCTGGAAACTTGGGGGGCGCCTGCCGTATCGAAGGACAATGCATCGCGCTTGGGCTTAAAAAAGAAAAAGAAGTGAGTAGACGCCTAGAAATGGGAACGCACAAATTCCAGTTTTGTCGAATGGTGCAGCCCGAAAGGAAGTAAATTCGTGTATAAATTTATACATACCTCCCTGTAGAACGGCCGGTTTGCTTGCAAGTACAGACGAGAATGCGACTCACAACCAGCAAAATTGTACCGGTCTAAGTGTACTACTTAAACGTCTTAACGACGTAGCCACGTTCGACATGGATCCAGCAACTTGTCTCTTCAGCACACGGTGCAGTGTTTCTTCGGACCCAAAACCCGTCGGAACGAGCGCACAATCGGTCGCGGATTCTCGCCCATTCAAATTCCTTTGTTGTAAATGTAGTGGCGAATCGGCTGGCCGTGTCGGTCCACCCGGGACTGGAACTCACTCTCGACACTGTCTGCCGAAATGGTTCCGACTTGTGGGAATAGAGCGACAGCGCTCGGCACGGCGCCCCATAAGCACAGCGTCAACACGACTGTGGCAAACGCATGCATTGACGTCGTAGGTTAGCACGAGCTTTGCTTTGAACAGATGTTGTGCGTACCAGTAGAGTAGTTCTACCCAACTGTCATCACGTACCAAGTTCGGCGGCGAGTTTCGGGTACTTGCCCTTGGGCATGACGTTAGTCTTCTTCATGACCTCGTAGAGGTATGGCGGTAGCAGCAAAACTGTGTGCAAGATGAGAAGACACCAAGAATGAGAACAGCGAGTTGCGGAAGCAGTTTCAACTGTCAGCACGTACTGGGCATCGGAAGTGCAATCCGTGTAAGCGCCACCTGACCAAGCGAGAGACGACCAGCAGCAACAGAGCGTCCATGGACGTCTCCGTGCTCGTCCATGATGTCAATGCCCTCCCTGCGAAGTCAGAGGCGCACAATAAGTGCCATGAAAAGCTCAAACATCATAGTCGCTCATGACGTACTGGAACTCGTTGAAGCGCATCGACACTGCGTTGAACGCTCCCGCGCTAGCAACAGCGACAAATGGCACCATCTGCGAGCAAGTTTGAGCAAACTAGGACAAGATTCGATGTGAACGAAGCGCAGAGCACAAACCTTTCCCAGAAATGAGCGCGTGCTTGGAGATAGTCGCTTGGCGTTCTCCACCATCTTACCCAGACCAACGGCTGTCGTACAAGACACGAGCGTGGCGGTTGCGTACGACTCTAGAAAAGATCGTGGACAACCACTACGTTACCACGCGCTGCCACAGTGCATAGTTTTGTCCACAGCTGGAAAAAGACATCGTACTCAAAATCGTCGAGTTGTCCTGCTCGCTGCTAGCGTTGCGATTCGCATAGTTGAAGCCAGCACCGTAGCTCTGGTTGATCCACTGCCAGAAGATCGTGTTTGCCAACTAACAACACGGTGTCGAGTCCAGACATATCGCACGTGTCATGCTGTCAGTTGCGACCAGGTTTCTTCCACATTGCAACAGAGTTTCCTACCGTAGGTGGGGCAAGCAGCATACCAACGCAAATGGGAATATTCACGGGCACAAACGCCGATAGGCGGAACACTGCAGGCACTGTCTCGCCTGTCTGCGGGTGCACGGCCGCTTCGTATGCTGGATGTAGCATTGCAGCTAAGTACGGGTTCCAGACACGGAGCAGCTACGAAAGGCACTCACTCACCTTGACGGATATTCCAGAGCTCTGCGTCGTTGATGGCTCCAGGGGCGAGCACACCGCTGCGAAAGTCCGCCAGCGTCTGCTTTGCGTGCTGAACTTGCTCCGAGCTCAGAAAGAGCCATCTACGGTCGAGCCACAGAGCGCTTTGTTACTTGGCGATGCTTTGCACAGGTACCACCAAAAGTCACGTGCTGGACGTACTTTGGTGACACGAGCGCTGCAAAGGTGCGCCATCGACCCACATATGTCGACGTGTCGTGTCGAGACTTGTCTGAAGTAGCACATGATGGAGGGCAGCAAATGAAGATACAGTGGCCAATTACAAGTCGTTACTTTTGCATTTGGAAGCAAGAGATCAGGCGGTCGTACCGAGCGAGAAAGGCGGAACTGCTTGTTCGTCCGACATTTGATGTGGTTGGATGAGTGGGTGCGAGATATCCCACGTCTTTTTTTGTTGAAAGTATCAGCTACGAATACGTGGACGGTTTTGTGTGACTGCACTGCAGGACGTGGAGTACCTACCTATCGTACGTAGTGCAGTTATTGATAACTGTGTCAGGCAGACACTTGATTGGCCAATATTGTCATCGAGCCAGATTGCAAGACCAGATGCTTTTCGCTGCAAGTCCTGCACAAGTTCAAAGGACAAAGGAGTTGGACAATAGCACATTTGTCCAGTGATCGTCTACTCGACCACAATTGTGTTTGGTGCAGAGCTGGCATGACATAGTTTTGTTCCATCGTTTTGTTTTTTGTTTTTTAAACCCCCGACTAATTGGACTCGGCGGAAATTTGGAGTTTTTGTTTATTTCGGCTCCTGAACGTCCTACTCATGAATCTCTTGACCCCTGAAAACGCCACATTCCTTGCTTCCACAACCTTCCTTCACCCCTAATTACTACAAGACTCAATATAAAATAAACAATTATTTATTGGTCAAAGTAGGGATCCTCGGCGTCATATGTAGAACACTAGACGGATCTATCCTTTCCTCACTTAGGAACTCAGCTCCCAGTATATCGAATTCCCACAATGCCCAGCTACAAACCTAGCTTGTTCATTCCTAGCAGTGGGCCCGCAGTGTCAGCCCACGGCACAACGATAGTGCCCTGTGCCTCTCCACCCCAATGCCATCGACTCCGCTATACCAAGCACTTACAATGACGTGCGGGAGCAAGACGACAATATGGACAATGCAAGGGACTGACAACGAAACGCGCGAGAAGCGTGGTCGCCTTCGACGCAATGTTTGGCGACACTTCTACACCACTAGTCAACCGTAGAAGAGCAAGTCAACCATCTGCAATCATTGTAAGATCTTGATCAACTACAACAAGTAGAGCAAGACGGTCACGATACACCTCAACACTTGCGGACCTTTCCGAAAGCTGATGAACGGCATGGAAGACGTCGATCACTCGGACTGGTATAATCGAAACAAGAAGCCGACGCGCCAGGCGAGAGCTCCATCTTGACCCAATGCCAGTTTGGTCCAGCAGACTTCGATCAAGCAGTTCACACTGCCTGCACTCTCCAAGGCGTCCATGGCAAGTTACAACAGCAGATTTCTCTTCATTTCTACGCGACCGGGACTTCGTTTCAGCGCGTTGCAGATGTGCATTTGAAGGGGCCATCTGTTTGCTGCGTCCTGACGACAACATACTCCCAAATCGCAAGCAGATGGGATCAACGCTTCTCGACAGCTGCCACACCGAGCTCTTGGCAAAGGTCGATAGGCGTTTGGCTGAAACTACGATGTGCCTGACGACCGATGACTGGACAAACATCATAAACAATTCTGTCATCGAGTAAATGGCCGTTTCGCCTTCCTGCAGCCTGTCTCCGGAAGTAGTGTCGACTGGTCAGCAGACACAGGACTACCATTTATCGCCGACGACATCGCTCGCGCAATCTGCCGCCATAACAAGAAGACGTTTGCAGTGAGCTGTGGCCGAAAACACCAGCGCTTGCAACAAAGCGTGGAAGGTCCTGCGTGAAAGTTCTCATTGATGTTCCTCCAGGGATGCTGTGCGCACGGTGTGCGTATTTTTGTATACTACAAATTTGGATCCACTAAGATTAAGCAACGTGACATCAGGGAGCCAACCTAATCTCAATATCTACCCGTTTGAATCCTGCATGACTTTGTAGAATATTGCAAGAATGTCGTCAAGTTCTTCCACAACCATTACATCCTGAAGTCCCAGCCCTGCGATCTACAAAACCCTAATTGCGCTCCCATGCGCCAGAGAGCGGTACCAACCCGTTGAGATACGATTTAGGCAATGGCGAAGACTCTGCTTGCGTCAGAACGTCATCTGTACGCGATTATCTCAGGGTACAGCTTAACTTCGAGAACAGCAAGCCAAAAAGCACAGACGGCCGAGGTGCGCAACACCATCGCTGATAAGCGCTTTACCGAAAAGCTAAAAAAGATGCTGGCGATACTGCGCTCACTAGATCGTCCCATCGTCAAGTACCATTCGGGCAAGACCCCAATCTCAGAGGTATTGACCGACTTTATTAATGTAAAAGCGGAATTCAAAACATTCCTCATCGACAACGTCATCGCCACGGAGGAAAGCGAATACCTAATCAAGCTTGCCAAACAGCACATGAATTATAATGTATGACGTGGCGCACGGCGTGTCTTTTCTGGTCGACCCGGTTCTGCTTGGTGGGGGCATATGCAGCGCCACTCGTTTTAGTTTAGAGGACGCGCTTATCAACACGCGTATTGACGATGAGCAGCCTGTCGACGATGTCCATAAAAGGCAAAGTTGCTTGGACTGTACCAAGTTTAAGATCGCGGCAACAAATAAACTGGCCCAAAAGTTCATTTCGATTTCAGAACCTTGCCGAGAGAAGTAAACTCCCACGGTATGGTGGCTGACCGACGGTGGGGACCATCAAATGCTCTAGAAAGTCGCCATCACACTTTTCAGTATGACCACCTCGACCGCTGCTTTTGGGCGCAAATTCTCAACATGGGTTTTACCCTTTCATGTATGAAAAAATAGCTTGCCCGTTTATGCCGATTAAAGGATATCATTCATCAAGTCAAATTCTAGAGATTTCTACGACTCTCCAAAAACAGACTGTGACAAGTAAGGCAGTGACACTGAGAGCGACGTCGATGTAAAATAAGGCGGCGTAGACCATTCGAAAAAGTATCGACCCTAATAAAATAAAACCATGACAAAGTCGATTTTTCTAATTTTAAAACCATAAAACTCCAATGTATCAGCCAGAAATATTTATTTTTTACCACTACTCTGGTGTATCTGTATATGACCTGCGTCTTGTTAATGCCTACGACTCCGCTATTTACCTCCATTAGTCTCGCTGGATATTGCTGATCCGTGCTATGAACCGCCCTGCACTCATTTATAGTACCGTCCGGCCGTGTCCATCGATGCGCTACACCACGCAGTCGATTGAGCACGTTGACTCTGCTTGTGCTTCGGTATATCAGAGTAAGAAAAGTCTGAGCAGGAGGTAGAGATCGGCCTCGGTTCTTTTTATAGCTTTCAGGGTCACTTTGCGCTACAACTCTTTACATCGAAATCAAGGAAACGAAGACGTCGTCAATAGAATTACAACTGATGTTCGAGCGACCTTTGTCGACTTGTCATAAGATTACGTCGGAATGGCAAACAATAAACGCGCTATTCTTGTACGAGCTCAGCCGAAGCTTACAATGTTTGATATTGAGGCATATGGTGTATATAATACACGCTTAGTTTTGACCCTAAGATGTCACTACATGTAGAGGAGAAGGTGACTGCTATTTTGTGGATGAAGCAAGTATGGTTTTGACCATAAAGGTTCGCCACTAGGCGAAGATGACCTATACGGGCCAGTGCAGTTGATGCTCTAGCTACAATTCGAAAGACAACATTGCGTCAAAGGAGATGTAGTCGGTTCTACAGACTAGAAAAAACGATGTGTCATTGACATAGGGCTGATCGAGGCCGTTCGTACGCACACTTGTCTAGTTCCTTCTCCCACCACAAACGTTCAAAGGCAGCTTGAACAGTTGTTTGATCTCGGTCGAATATTCCGCGTACGATAGGGTTGTCGTAAAGATAGTTATGAATCGGTGATTCTTGATACGACATACCTTCACGTACTTCGCACTGACTTCGTACGTGGATAAGCGTGTGCGTCGATCACACTGCAAGGACATGTCTTACTTTCAAAGTAAGACAATCGATGCAAGTGCATCGTGTTATCCGGATCCGAAGTCGACTGATTGTTGTCCTTTCTTGTGCAAAAAAGTAGGTGAACTTCGGCACAAGATGTAGTCACTATCAATACTACGTTGCGTGGAAGATCATGAGTGGCTTCATGTAGCAATGGAGAGCGAATATCGCTAATAATGATTTACAAAAGAGACTGCAGTGTTGAAAGACGGACCGTCTCTTGTTCTCATATTAACATATACGATGGAGAATGATGTTTAATCCTCGAATATTATAAAAACTGAAGCCGGGATAATACGCATCTGATAGCCACGAATCCTTCGACAAAGATGAAGACGTTAATATATGGGAGGAGTAACCCCCTGGTGCCCTGGAGAAGCACCGCTCGTGCCAAGAACTGGCCATAGCGCTGATTTAATTCCCTGTCAGACCAACCCTGTAATTGAGCACGCTTCTTACCAGACGACTGTCAAGACCTTGTGCTGACTGGACAAACGACTGCGTGCTCCTGACGTCACATACACGTGGCGTGAGGAAGCGAAAGGAATTAAACAGAACCCGAAAGCTCTGTTTAAGGGAAGAGTAGAACTGTATATAATATAGTTAAGGTTTCTGTTAATAAACCATCTTAGTATTTGTCATACTATATGAAGCTACAATCTCTCATGTGGGCTTCTTGCTCACCACCCATTGCGCGCGTCTAGCAGCGATCGGTGGTTAGCCTAATTAACGTACTGTGTACATCACATTTTAAAGTGGAGCACCCAAAGGATGTTATCCTCGAGGTAACATTCCGTCAACATCACCTCGCCTCTAGTGATGTTGTTTCAATATTAACTAAACCGATAATAATCAAAATCGATACATGCGTACCAATCTTTATGTAACGGGCTCACCCCGTTACAAACTCTAGGTTCCAAAAAATGTTTTCGACACACTGGATGCCCTGCTACCACCCCAGGAACGCCGGCACCAGGTAGTAAGGCCTCCCGAACAGGCATATACCTCCAACAACTAATAGTCGGGCTATCTGGTCTGGCAGGAAACCAGAGCAGCCGGTAAGCACTGCCCGTCCCGGGGGACAATAACCACTACCGGGAAGCGAAGCGTAGGCCCGACCTGAAGAGGGCAGTATCATGTCGTTAGGAGTCTTGAATGTACAGCATGTACCTAAATAAAAAAAAGGTCAAATGTGGGCGCA